TTTCACTTAACATGTGTTGGTGAAGTGCTCATTACAACTTTGTCTTTCTTATTAAATACAAAGAACAATATTTTTCTCCTTCCTTATTTTGTTACATTTTTTTTCCCAACTAAAGTAATATGTAGGTCACAAAAGTATTAAGTCTATGTTTGATAAGGATTAAAATTAAGATTTTAATGTAAGTCAAAGTAAAAAATTAATTATAGAAACATATTTTACATGACTCATAATTTACGATCACATATTTTAATTAACTTCAAAATTAACTTCTGTCAAACTCTATTAAAAATTTAATTTAATCCCCACCAAGAATGGCTAATATATTTTAGTAAAAGAATAGTACAATCGCTTTATATTATTTGAAAAAAGAGCGAGTTATTTCTCACACGAGGAACACATTTTTATTCCTACTTTGAGGTCAAAGCATGTTCGGAAAGTCTTTATAAAGAGTTAAAATTGTAAATTGATAGAAATGAATTATAGATAAGTGAATAATATTTGTGAGTCTCTTAAAATGTGTAGGTATAAAAAGACTTGAGTTTTACAAATAGTTTATAAACATGAGCAAATCATAGCTAATTAATTATGGGAATTTCGAGTAAAGAAAGTTCAAATAGAGATTTATTTTCAATTGTCTATAAGCATATTGATGAAACATATTAAACGATAAATCCCTTGTTTTATAAGCATAAAATTATTAACCAACATATAAGAGGTTATATCACGCCTTTAATATTGTTGATATTTTAAGATGAATTACTTCAAGTCTTAAAATCATTTTCGTCCTTTGCATTATGTTTTCTTGTTTAAATTACAAATGCCATTTTATTTTAATATAAAAGAAAAAATAATATTGTCCACCTTATTCACCATAATAACATCCACCTATTATTATCGATTTTAATTTTATACTAAATCCTTTATACTATTAATAGAATGCACCAAGCTCAACCTTAAGTTCATAATTATTAGAAAAAAATTACTCATCAATATTCCAATTCAGGGACAATAGATGGAGATTGTCTTCCTTGTTATGCTCTTATAAAGCTCTAGAGTACAACCTTTTCTTAGCAATGAGTGTTGGGGGATTAAAAATAAAAAATAAAAACGAATAGTAGTTTTTAGCTCTATGAAGTGCGTGTGTAAAAAGTAATTTGAACAAGTATACTCAAAACCCTTGTTTGATCTGGATAAAAATTAGATTTTTAGTAGATTTTAATAAAAATTAATTAAATTTATGATTGAAAAATTGATTAAAGTTGTGAAACCTATAAAATGTGTGATCGAGAATGAGTTTGAGAAAAAATGTGTTTTAAAAAATAAAGACCAAACATGACCTAAATATATTCCAAGACAAACTTCATGAGGACAATTTACTTAGGGCTCTCATTTGAAATATGAAGATTCCAATTTCGAAACGACTCCTTTGATGAGTGTGACACGTGGGGTATTTTGAGATCTTTGTATTCTACCTATTAACTTATATTATGAAACAAAAGAGTATAGTACATGGCCATGTATAAACCACAACAACTACACATAAATACAAAGTGCAAGAACCAAAAAAAAAAAATAATAATAATAAAATAGGGAGATAAATCTCAATGTTTCTTGGATGCATGGTGAAGAATGTTTGCATATAATTTTAACTTAACGAGTGCTCAATAGAGAAATGGTTCTCGACTAAATTTGAAATTTCACCTGATTCTGAGATTTTTATATTTTATTATATTTTTATACTACTTTTGTTTTTCGAGATCTTTTCTTAGGTTATCGAATCTAGTTTTCACTCCACACCCTCACTCGTTCTCACCCTTGATATTTTTTGCTTGAATTTTTACTTTTTTGTTATTTCTATTTTATCTATATATTTTCAATTTGATGTATAAGATCACTACTTAAAAGTTTTGACTCTAAAACTCGATCTCAATTCTCATCTACGGACCTATTTGATGTCTATTATTTATTTATTTGAATGAAAATTGATTGTTTTGGGTTAATGTGATTTCAAAGTAATGAAAAAAATGATTTTTATTGGGAAACTATGAATGATTATGCGGGATTTTACTGAACATATGGCTTATATCAAATTAATGGCTTGAAGGTAAGCCCCCGTTTGGCTCTTATTATTATATATATATATATATATATATTTGGAAAAACTTGGAGTTGAGAACGAAGGAAATATTTTCGATTTACGCGTGATATTGTTTTACGGAAAATTGTGTGGTTAAAAATAAGAGAGAAAAATTATAATATGATGGGGCAAACAGAGGCTAAGTCTTCTTGTAAATGCATTCTTATTGGATCATTTGCTAAGTTGCTGCTATTAATTGTTCAAAGAATATGTGTACTTCGATTTGTAACTGGTTGATTCAAGAGTGTAATGGTTTAATGGTTTCATTCGGTATAAAATACAGGTATAGTGCATCAGTTACCTATTTGCTTTTACTGTATTTTCTTGGAGGTAAATTGGAGTCCTTATTGTTGGGCAGTGATTGATAAGTGTATTTTATATACTTATTTATGCTATTAAAATTGAGTATTTGTTACAGAATTTGATGGAATATGGTTTAATCTTATTTATATATTGTGTGTAAGTTACAATCAATGGAAGATATGAGAATAAAGAAAATAAGAAGGAAAAAGACTCAATTACATCAAGGCAAAGTTTGGAGACTAGAATGCAATAATTCAAAAGTTGAATTTGATCAAAGAACGATGAGTTGAGAACACCAAGAGTCAATTGGAGTTGAAGAGAAGCTAATGAGACAAGAAATTTTGGAAAAGGACCAAAACACACACTTCAGAAAGTTTAGGGACCAAATTGCAAATTGGCCCCTAAAATAGTTGAACTATGTGTACGCATAGGCTTGCAGGTCGTACATATGCACGATTGGAAAATTGAATTTTCGAAGTTAAATTGATGATACTATGCATACGCACCAAAATGTGCTATGCGTACGCATATTTCAATTCCGACAAAAAAATTCTGTTTCCTTATTTTGTTTTGGAAAGTTTTGGTTTACAATTCTTTGCACGATATTTATACCAAAAGTCGACAAAAGCACGGGGAACCTAAGTTTGATGAGATTGGAAGCCGACAAAGAGGAAAAGAGAGCGGGATATACATTGAAGAACAAGATTTCATCAGTTGGATCCGAAATTGTAGGCATAAAGTGGAAGATTTCAGATTCTTTTCATACTTTAATGATTCGGGTGATGTCGTTCCTTTATTTTTCCTGTTTTTCATACATTAATATGCCGGGCTAGACATCTTTGTATTGGATAGATGACAAAACTGATTGACTCCTAATTTTTAATTCAAAACCTTATGTTTTTATCTTAATTCTTGCGTTGTTTTAATGTTTGCGCACCATTATGACAATAAGTTGCTTATTCATAGTGTTGGAAAACTCAATATAGGTAGAACACTGTTATTGGAACGCATGACAATGAATGTTAGGAATAATATTTGTCACGTGTGCGATCATGTGTGATAATCCTATACATCAATGCGTGTTTGCCATATGAATTCGGACTAAGAATATGATCGTTTTGTGGTAATCATAGGTTTATTATATTTTGGGAAAGAGTAATAAATAATTGTGGAATTATCGATCGTCACAATTGCATGAGTTGAGATAATTGTCATAGGTCGAGAATTAGAACTAAGAGTTGATCAGTGACGTCGAAAACCCAATACATTCACTCATCTGAATTCTAAAACAAATTCTCATAAATTTTGCAAATTTTTAGTTATAGAACTTAATTAACTATTCAAACAAACGTCAACGTTTAGTTAATCTCATGAATTTAATTATATCGAATACACTGGAATTAGACCTTATTCCCTGTGGGACGATAACTCTTTCATCACAATTATTACTTGTACAACGAACCCGTACGCTTGCGGGATTTTAACGAACAGTGATGCCAGTCTTGGTCTAATAATTTTAGGCAATGTTGATATTGATCTTCGATCCAGATACCACGCAAATAACCTTGCCCAATAACATTATCTAAGATGACCCACTTACCATGACCCGATATTCATCCCAATTATGTGAGAGTTGCTCTGAACCATTGGATTAAGATGCACATCTACGGTTGATTGGTTTTACTATAAATACATGTCTCTAACCCTAATTTGCAAGATTTTTTTTTTCATTCTCTTTCTCCTTCAGCCGTTTGGAACCTTTTGGGTTCCTGTTCTTCTTCTGTTCATCTCCTCTTTGTGAGTTGATCTTATTCTCTTTGTGAGATCAAAATCTGTGTGTTTTCTCCGTGTGAGTAACTGAAATCTGCGTTGAGGGTTCAAAAATCTGTCAATTGAAGCAACCCCACGTTGGGTACTTGTGAGGGTTATGGTTCGAGTTAGGGCCTCTTTTGATGATACGAAGGGTACAAGGATCTGAGCCTAAATCAGTAACCATTCTTGGTGTTCAGTGGTAGTTTTGTATAGTTTCAGATAGTGTCATTTCAGATCCGTAATTTTCTTGTAAAGAGTTGTGTATAACATTTATGTAACAGTTTAGAAAAATATAAAATAAATAGAGATCCTAGGAGTCTCTCGCTTCATACTCGAATGTGCCTATGTATCCTCTACCGAAAAAATAAAACTAATGTAAAAACAAAATAAATTAAAGAAAGAAAGATTATTCAAACAGAAAAAATAATAAAGTAGGTGTATGCGTAAATCAAAATGCTGAAATAAAAAATACGAAACACCGATGATATATAAATAATAAATCCTAATGTAAATAGAGTTCAGTTCCGAATTCGATATAATATTTTCTATAATATAGATGGAATTGTCTATCATTATAGACAAATGAAAAACATTCTCAAAATTCTTATTCATCCACTTAATTTTGAAGTTCATACGTCAACCTTTTTACTTCACACTCAAACCTCAAGATAACATCATACAGCCAAACCCAAAAATGACATCAGTTTTTCACTCGATAAAACTAAAGAAAAGCTACTTGAGCCCTCCATATCTTAATGAAACAATTTATTAAACATAACATTCAAATCCTGAAAGTTCGATACTGGTATATATTTACAGAGATTCAGGTGAAATTCAACATTTCCAAACTCGTCAAACATAAACAATTAGGCAACATTATATAAGACAAAACTAGACATGACAGGCGACAAAATCTTAGTTTCTTTTCCTTCTTTAATACTGACCAATAAATCTGACCAAACATGCCATTATGCTATTAATAGCAAACCTCAGACAATATATATTACCACTTTGATGAATAGGATTTTGTAGCTTTTCTTGAATTGAAGTGAGGCTGGAAGGCTTCCATAACTTTCTCATATGATGGCCTCTTGTAATCCACTGCCTAGTATAAGAAGTTATGATCCATGCATAAATAAGCCTTTTGACAAAGATCTGTAATGGAGAATTCAGTAAAATTTTGGAAGGAATGTTTCAGAATACCTGCTCAATGACTTCTTCCGGGGTTGCCCATTTCCAGTCTGAGAATTCTGGTTTTGCTTCACCATTTGCTAAGTTGATTTCACTTTCATCTGCTGTAAATCTCATAAGAAACCTGTTGATTGCTCGAGTTACTTCTCACGATACACAGCACGTGTATAAAATTCATTTTCGATTTCTGTCTAGAAAATTTACGTCTGTAAAGAGAATGTATGCTGTTTAAGGACAAATATGCACTCAAAAGAACTGATGTTGGATTATATTTGTCATCCCCAACAATTCCCAGTACAGGAACTTGTATAGGACGGCGATTTTGACTGTCCACTCAGTTCAACAAGCAGAGAAATTATCATAATATAGTCTTAGTTATTCTCAGGAAATCTATTTAGGATTCTGCTAATGGATGCATTGTGATATCAGTATGTGCAGATGAATGGAATTTGTAACTGTTATTACCTGTATTTGAAATTTATCATAATGCGAATGTAAGTTATTCTAATGTTATCTATATATCATATTCTCCTACTTTTCCAATTAGATTTATTCCACACTGGATTCCGAAATGGTTGCTGCAGAAAAGATTCATCTGGTAATGTTTGGGATCTAATTCTTGGTTTAGAGGTTACTGTCATGGTTCAGACTCTTATTAAGAAGTATCTATATGTTTGTAGAGGCCTTTGGTGTCCCCTCCAGTCAAGAATTGGGACCTCACAATCACTAGCCAATAGGCTTTTCTCTCTAGCATTCTCTCACGCTTGGCGCCAATGAGGTTTTAACCGATTGGTCGTAGGTTTGAATCCTACTTGGGACAGCCACTTTGAAATGTCACGAAATACCTCCCTCTTCGAGAATGTCCTCAGCGTCGAGGAACGTGTACTAACCATCTTGTTATCCTATAACAAGGACCAATTAAATTAAATGGAAAAAACTTAATCTAATGCAAAACCAAAATGCTCGGAGGACTCTTCTGACAAGATAAAAAATATGTAATTGTTAGCAAAGTTGGATCTGATTTTGCGACTTTTTTTTCTGCAGTACCTCGAAGTGACATGAGCGTGAAAGGGGTTCACCTCTTTCGAAGGATGGTCAACGGACTTGGGATTTAGAATTTTCATAAATGAAATATAGAAACTTAGAAAGTTTCCAAGTAGGTACACCAATTAAAGAAAGGAGTTCTCGCTTGTCAGAGTGGAGGCACCTCTGTTGCTTTTCGGAATATACCCGAGACCTGTCTTCCAGAGAAGATATAATAATTTATTCAAATTTAGTTTTCAACACTTAGTTTCACAGTGAAACCTCTGCAAACATCTCTTACTAACTCAATTCACAAATTTTCTTGTCCCCACAAAAAATTAGTCGAGTAGTACTTGCTTATTTATCGATCATGAACAAACATTACTTCTATGCTTATAACTAGAAATTTTAAGCTGACTTGATGCTCATAATGTGTTCTAAATATAGCAATTGATGATGTTAAAATCTTGTCTAGACATTAATGGGTCAATGTACTACTGTTTCTGCTAGCGTTGTCTTCAAATGTTCCTGGACATATATCTAATGAAAATGATAAACCCTTTTATACTTAAATTAATAAAGGCTTATTACTGAGGTTTGAATAATAAAGAATGTTGGAGATCAAGTACTATGGTTAGCATTTATTTTATGTTGCAAAATTGCCTTTCAAGTCTAGTACTTCATCATTTGATGGGTGAGCGGTTGGCCCTTTAAGATTCTATAATATTAATGAAGAAAGAAATATCCGAGTACTTGACATGGATATCCCACACCAAGCACAGACTTGTCTACTCACACAGTAGGCGAGTTGGACATGAGTAAATACATAGGACTTCGGATTGCAATAGAAAAAGTAGTATGGGCCACAAGGGACAGGGCAATTTGCTTGGTCGAGAATTTGATCCCTCACCCAAATCGGTTAACGCCCCATAGTGGACCATGTGCCCTTTTATGAATAATAGTGGGGTGAAAGTGCGTTGCACATTTGTTGGTTAATATTAAAAATAAGTGTACGTAGAAATGATATGATGATGTGGATATAACATTGAGCTATAAATGAGGGGCCAATGTGTAACTTTCAACATTTACTCCTATTTATGATTCATTGATAAGAAAATGAGAGATATTTATATACAAGGGTGAATCCAACCTTGAAGGTCAGCTAGGTCGGTCGAGTTGTTGACTGTTGACCATTGATTGTCGACAGTCAACAGTCGTAATAACGAAATCGTTTATAAATATTTAATTAAATAATATTAAAATTTTCAATCCATAAGTAAATGCACTGAAACTTAAGAAATCATATATATATGAAAAATAAATTCAATACAACCCAAGATAATAAAAAAAAAAATACATATACAATCTCACTTCATAATTGTAAAATGAAAATATAGCATTTGGTTAATAATATTCTGCCAAAAATTGGCATAATCAATTTATTATAAAAAAAGGTGAAGAATTTAAGAACTTGAGTAATATGAAAAGCATATCAAAACTCTCCAGTGATTAAACATTCAACACAAAATTAGAATATAGTTGGCTATTGGTATAATCAACCCTAAAGTCTCAATTAATCCAAAATTTCCCAATTTGATTTTGAACTACCACAAGTATAATCATTTTCCAAAAGCACTTAAAACAAAGTATGCAAAGGTGAAAAAATGTTCATTCTACCTTCTATCAAAGAGCAAGCATGAAATTTCAGCCATTTTATATTCAAATCAACCAAATAAATCCATAAATACTCTACCCAATAAATTAAAACAATGAAATCCCAAATATACTCAAAGAAATTACACTAACAGACCTCTGATAATATGAAGAATCTCGATGCAAAACTAATTTCGAATGAATATATCACACTGTCATGCGCCCATAATTTGTTTCCTTGTGAAAGTTGTACAACACTAAAGGAATAAAAAAAGAGCTGTATAATACATATGAGATGAAATGATTTAAATTTGGGCCTAATTTTTAAACAAAAAAGCCCATATCAAATCCTCAGCCCAAACCAAACAAAAGGGCCATTAATTTCGATCTTCTTCTTCCTCCGGTGACTGGTTCTTTCCATCTTCGGCTCTTCCGTCTCTGCAAATGAAAAGTCCGACGGCTCTAAACATTTCAGCAGATCCAGCACGTGCGGTCGTGGGTGCTCGCCACGTACTAGATCCGTCCATGTTTAGATATACTAGTTAAAGTTGAACGTGTATTTGCACGTTATTTTAAATACTATATAAGTGATGTAAAAATAATATTTGGTACTAATTTGTTGAAGGATATGATGAGTTTCGAACGAATTAAAGAAAATAAAATTTAGCATAAAAATTTAAAAGAAGAAAATTGTACTCAAATTGTACTTTCAAAACTCAACTTCTACGATTCAATTTTTTTGTAATGATGAAATATTATAAATGAACGATCTTTTTATATTACATTTAATACATAAAAATTAATTGTTTATACATAAATTTGAACACTCATTTAAATTTCTAGATACATGAATATAAATAAATTCATCTATAATAACTCTATATTCATAATATCAAGATTCATCAAATGAAAATTCATTGAATCTAGATTAATGTGAATATTAATTAATTGAGAATTAATAACACAAATTTCATAAACGACAATAATTATATAGTATTTATTACATATCAAAAAACGAAAAGTAAGGTATTATTGAAATAATTGAATTGTATTGGAGTTAAAATCGTCCAAAAAATGATTCTTCATTGATGTGATACTTTAATAGTTTATAGATATAGATTATAGATGTTGAACAATTTAATTTAAACTTGATCCTAATTTGACTTGCTTACACCTTATTTAATGGCCTATAAGAGAGAATTTGGTCAGGTCAAATAGCATTTCTCTATTTAATTTGTGCCTTGAATCCCACCAATCTCAAATTGAGTGCGACTTACGCATTGATTAGGTGTCATATTTTTAATGCTCCATAAGTACTTTGTACATTTTTAAATATTATAAGTTTCATCCCTCCAAAATTTATAGAGAATTTATTTATTAATGCAACTCAAAATTTGAGGTAAATTTATTAATGAAAAAAAGGTTGAACCCCAACCTTAAGGGTCCCCACCGACCCTGCTTTGGGCCATTGTGGAGGAGGTAAATCGCAGGATGTGCCTCCCAGGAGCCAGGGTGGAGAGTACATGGATAGGCCAAGACTGTTAACCCATATAGTAACTCCCGCTTGCAACAAAGCCAATTCCACCTTGCGGGGAATCGAACTCTGCACACTACTGCTCTGAGCTCTATCCTCTCTCCCCTTTGTCACTGGGAGATATACCCTGGAGGCAGGTAAATTTATTAATGATTCAAGCACTCAGTAGATTTGAGGTAAATTTATTAATGATTCAAGCACTCAGTGCAAATTATGAAAATCTCAATTGTGCATTCGCTGCATGTAACATAAAATAT